AAAAATTTAAAATAAAATAAACGCACAGTACTACAGTCATGGTCAAAAGTTTTGAGAATGACACAAATACTAATTTTCACAAAGTCTGCTGCCTCAGTTTTGATGATGGCAATTTGCATATAATCCAGATTGTCATGAAGAGTGATCAGATGAATTGCAATTAATTGCAAAGTCCCTCTTTGCCATGAAAATGAACTTAATCCCCAAAAAACATTTCCACTGCATTTCAGCCCTGCCACAAAAGGACCAGCTGCCATCATGTCAGTGAATCTCTCGTTAACACAGGTGAGAGTGTTGACGAGGACAAGGCTGGAGATCACTCTGTCATGCTGATTGAGTTAGAATAACAGACTGGAAGCTTTAAAAGGAGGGTGGTGCTTGAAATCATTGTTCTTCCTCTGTTAAACATGGTTACCTGCAAGGAAACACGTGCCGTCATCATTGCTTTGCACAAAAGGGGCTTCACAGGTAAGGATATTGCTGCTAGTTAGATTGCACCTAAATCAACCATTTATCGGATCATCAAGAACTTCAAGGAGAGAGGTTCAATTGTTGTGAAGAAGGCGTCAGGGCGCCCAATAAAGACCAGCAAGCGCCAGAACCATCTCCTAAAGTTGATTCAGCTGTGGGATCGGAGCACCACCAGTGCAGAGCTTGCTCAGGAATGGCAGCAGGCAGGTGTGAGTGCATCTGCACGCACAGTGAGGCGAAGACTTTTGGAGGATGGCCTGGTGTCAAGAAGGGCAGCAAAGAAGCCACTTCTCTCCAGGAAAAACATCAGGGACAGACTGATATTCTGCAAAAGGTACAGGGATTGGACTGCTGAGGACTGGGGTAAATTTTCTCTGATGAATCCCCTTTCCGATTGTTTGGGGCATCCAGAAAACACCTTGTCCAGAGAAGACAAGGTGAGTGCTACCATCAGTCCTGTGTCAAGCCGCATCCAACGTCGTTTTAGAGAATTTGGCAGTACGTCTAACCGGCCTCACAACCGCAGACCACGTGTATGGTGTTGTGTGGGCAAGCGGTTTGCTGATGTCAACGTTATGAACAAAGTGCCCCATGGTGGCGGTGGGTTTATGGTATGGGCAGGCATAAGCTACGGACAATGAACTCAATTGCATTTTATCAATGGAAATGTTAATGCACAGAAATAGCGTGACGAGATCCTGATGCCCATTGTCGTGTCATTCATCTGCCTCCATCACCTCACGTTTCAGCATGATAATGCACAGCACCATGTCGCAAGGATCTGTACACAATTCCTGGAAGCTGAACATTTCCCAGTTCTTCCATGGCCTGCATACTCACCAGACATGTCACCCATTGAGCATGTTTGGGATGCTCTGGATAGACGCATTCAACAGCGTGTTCCAGTTCCCGCCAATATCCAGCAACTTCGCACAGCCATCGAAGAGGAGTGGGATAACATTCCACAGGCCACAATCAACAGCCTGATCAACTCTACGTGAAGGAGATGTCGTGCCGCATGAGGCAAATAGTGGTCACACCAGATACTGACTGGTTTTCTGATGCATATCTGTATTCCCAGATAAATTAGGGCCTAATTAATTAATTTCAATCGACTGATTTCCTTATATGAACTGTAACTCGGTAAAATCTTTGAAATTGTTGCATGTTGCATTTATATTTTTGTTCAGTATAGATATGTTGTGGTATAGTGTGTAATGTGTTGTGTGATGTACTGTTTTATTTTGTATGTAATTGCCGTTATCTTGTTTGGACACCTGGAAGAGTAGCAGCAGCTAATGGGGATCCGTAATAACCCCCCCCCCCCCCCCAAAAAAAATACAACCACCATCGATTCACAAGGGGTAAATCTCATGAGGCGCTTTCTTTCCCTTTGTCCTATCTCCTTGAGCTGAAGGAAGCTAGCTAGCTAACACTACACCAGAGTCATGTATTTCGGAGAAAAAAAATGCATGGCTCTGCACTACACCAAAGGAGTTTATCCACCCACTTGTATACTTGTCAAACTTTACCCGAAATGTTTTGAGGGCTTCTTCATAGGCGTTTACCAGTGCCGAGTCGTCAGTAGCCACAGCTAAATACCCTTTATCCTACATCAAAACAGAAACAACATACTTTACATTTTAATGTCATAATAATAATCATAAGAAGAAGAAAGTAGCTAGCTAGCAATGGACGTTAGCCGTGTTAGCTATTAACTTTCTCAGTGGTTAGCCTCATCATCAGCTTGGTGGAGATAGCTAGCTACTGCGTTACGTTAGTTGGCTAGTAACGTTATGCGATAAAAACCTTACCTCGACTCCTTCCCTTCGGAAAACAATACTTTCATGATGTTCATCCATAACTAGCTTGATGAATTAAACACACGTGTTTATTAGTTATAGATTTCGTGACATTAGGCCGTTTTCAAATGTAGTAGCAAACGTTTTGATTATGCCACATTCAAAACACCCGGCAACTCGGAAATCTCCGACTTCAGTGTGTTCAAGACAACTGGAAACGTGGGGGAAACGAACTCCGATTGGGAAAAATCGTTTTGAACGGTCATCCAACTCAGAATTGCAAGTAGGAAACTCTGGCGTCCTTCTAGAGCTCCGACTTGAAGATTACTGAGGTCATGATTTGACCACGTTTTTTCCCCGAGTTCCCAGTTATCTCGAAAACACCATTAGGCTACATTAATGGTACGTTCAAGACAACTGGGAACTCGGAAAAATACGAGGTCAAATCATGACGTCAGTGATCTTCAGGTCGGAAAGTTAGAGTTCTAGTTGGCCCTCAATATATTAATTACCGTGTGTTAGGATAACCACAGTGAGTTCCCCAGGGAGTCTTTACATGCACCCAAGATGAAGAACGTGAGACCTGTGTACAAGCTGCAGGCCTACCAAAATGACTCGGCGATTAAAAAAACAACAACACGCAATCCCCCCTCATAAACAGATACGGTTTGGAATGGACTCGGGCAAAGATTAGAACGTTCCCCTTTCATCTGTGACTAGAGTTTCACACAGATATGAGTCCATAAACCCGGGACCCAGAAATACTAATGATCAAGTAGGCTAAGCAGTCACCTCTATTTGTGAAAAACATAATTCGCCGATTTATCAACGAATTGATCAACTGTTAAAAAGTTGTCAATGCATGACATGGTCACCAAGCGAAGAAGAACATATTTTGTATCTATCAAAATGACTACAGGCAGTATGGATGGCCTACGGATAGACTGTATTTTGGGATTAGGGGCTATAATTTGATGTCATCACAACTGCTCCATTCACAGTTCAAGATAAGCCTTTCCAGTCGCTTGACAATTTATGATATAGGCCGATTTTCGAATTGAGAGCAGATTAGGGAACAAATCAGCACGTCTCCACACCGGGCCACACTTGATACTGTGTAAACCGCGACTAGACTGTATCAATATCAGTCTTCGAGAGTGTAGATATTTAATTGGCCACTAAATGGCGCTCCACGCTAAGAAGAATAAACGTTTTATTATAGCCTCACTGTACATACTGCTTTCTGATCACTGTTCAAGAACTCTCATTGTGTACATGATTAAGCAAGCAATTAAAATGTTGAGCAAATATGACTATTACAATATGTAGCCCTTGAAGTTGATCAATAACAAGGTTTATTGAAAATATTTATATTTTTATACAAATTAGTAAGCGGTCTAATTTATCCATATGGATTTCATCTGCAGCGTATCTGCATTATCTGCAGAAATGTGACTTTTGCAGTAACATTTTAGCGCTTGGTCTTGGTCTCATGACACAATTCAGCAAGGGGCATAAGGGGGGACAATAAGAGTTGCAACTTGTTACAACATGTTCCAACTTGCAGTTTTGGTGCGATGCAGCACAGAGTCCACTGAGGGGCGACTCATGGTTAACAATCTGATGTGAAAACCCACTATTCTTTCTTACAATCACCATACTGTATAGAAAAAATATATAATTGCAAACTATTCCAATAGTATTGGCTAGTATATAAACCTATAAGTCTTGGATGCTATAAGCCAATGCACATAGAATAACAATGTAATAAGCATTCATCATCAATAGGCCCATACAGTAGCCTTCAGTATCATGGATGGAATAAGTTATAATTGAGACTAATGGAGTAGCCTAGTTTACCTGTCTGTCTGTAAGGTGAGATTTCGTAATTGATAGGATAACACGATCCACTAATAGCTTGTGAACACCACTAATCCTGTGACTGTGGATACAATTTGCCAAGGTGGAACTAGAAGCTAGGGATAGGTGATGAAAGTTGCAGAAATTCGGCCCACATTCTAGAAGATAGACGATTTTCACAAAAAAAGGCAGGGGAGCGGATACCCCACGAAAATTTAATTTGCATTGGTTTAACTGTCTGGATGCATCTTGGTTACACAATACAGTACTGTGGGCTGCTTGTTGCACGTGGTTTAACACGAGGGAGGTCAGGTGCTATGGTAACAAACATGACAATGTATCCCTCTCTGCAAACTCCTCTGACTGCGGTGCAATCAACCAACGGACTTAATCACAATGTTATTTTTGGCATAAAAAAATTGCATGAAGTTTTGTATTGAAATATTTAATGGAACAAAATAGCTTATTATGTTAAATCAAACACACTTTCATAGACATGATCACAATGACGACCCCAATATGAAGAAATACGCAGCAATGGAGAAGCTAAGGAAATTAATTCCATGGCACCCAGTATGAAAATGTATGCACTCACTAACTGTAAGTCGCTCTGGATAAGAGCGTCTGCTAAATGACTAAAATGTCAAATGTAAACAAATTGATACTGAGCAAGGAAGGTCGGGGGATTCTCTGAACCAGCCCACGTGGGTCCCCAAAATGCGTTGGCGTAAACAGCCAATGGTTGAAAAGAGTGGGGGAGTCTATGTACACCAATGGACCAATCAGGGAAGTAGCGACTGAGTATCACCACGCCCATGACGAGAGTGGATATAACCCTTGAGTTTCACAACGTTGTGTTAGAAAGCACTGAGCCTCAGACAGGAGAACTATCAAAAGGACTTTGCAACTAAACAACGAGCGAGTTTACGCTGAAACACTGCAAGTGAACATATACCATATTGGATTACTTAATTGACAAGGACGTTCTGCAAACCTCGATTCGGGAATATACTCATTGGAGATTATCCTGGATATCCTTGTGGATTATACAATTACGGACTTAAATATGACTCTGGAAGAACTTGTTGGATGCAATATCACTGAGAAAAAGTAAGTTCCTTCTACATTTGTAGCTCAGAATAGCCTACAGCTTGCTGTAACATAGTGTGCATTGAGAATAGATGGTTTGGCAGTGGACCGTGAAGCACATATAGCCTCAGTACTGAATTCTGCTAAATTCACCAGTTGTTAGTAGCCTATTCTCAATTGTGGTGCATAACTAACAATGTATTTTTGTTGAAGGATGGAGACCGTGAATCAAGCACTAGAAGAGCTGCTGGTGGCAGCGCAGCAACAAGACTGCCTGACTGTGGGAGTCTACGAGTCTGCAAAGCTGATGAATGTGTAAGTACATTATTGACCATTCTATCCTATGATTGACCATTCCATAATATGAGTCAACGTAACATAGCTGCAAGCATGACGCGCTTTGCGCAACTCTTTTGACACCATATTTATCTATATTTGCTATACAGAACAGATCATTAATGTTATATTCCCTTTCTTTCTGCAGTGATCCTGACAGTGTTGTGTTGTGTGTTCTGGCGACGGACGAGGAGGACGAGGATGACATTGCACTGCAGATTCACTTCACGCTCATCCAAGCCTTCTGTTGCGACAACGACATCAACATACTGCGCATCTCCGGCATGAGGCGCATCGCTCAGGTTCTTGGCGAGCCAAGCACCGCTGACAGCAACGGCAACGAGCCCAATGATATGCACTGCATCCTTGTCACTGTAAGTACATCCTCCTCGTTATTGTTAATCTTGTGCGTAATTGTTCATTTAGAATACATCGCAATTATCTAATATCATCACAATTTCCACATTCAAGACATTCCTGACGATATCTCTCCCCTTTTGCATACAGAATACCCAGTGCCAATCTCTGAAATGCCAAGCGTTGCAGGATATCGGCAACTACTGCGAGGAGAGCCGCTGCAAGAACCAATGGGTACCTTACCTGGCCCTGCAGGAGCGCTGAACTAATGACCCTCGCTGAGAAACGTGAAAGCGATGAAAATAAGTAAACAAGTCGTCATTCTTCAAGAATGAGAAAGGCGTTCAAGAAGGGGCATCGTCGACAGGCCTGTGTCTGCCTTGCCCTGGGCCGCTATCCAGTGACGGAGCTGGGCGTGCGAAGGTTCCGAGGGACAATGCGTATGCAACCATGACGCATCTGACCCCGTATTTTTCCTCCGCGGAAAGGAACAGTGTGTGCCGGAGTGGGGCGTAGGAACGAACTGTAGAGAAGTCTCGCTGCTGTTTGCCCAGCCATGTTGGAGCAACCGGGGGCGGCAGCATAGCGTGGGAACGGACTTGCAGTTTCGTTATTTGAGAGGAGGGACAAAGCAACTGTATCAATGAGAATACAGACTTGAAACCGGGTTCAACCCTATGCTTTCTGACGTGGAAGTGGGTGTGTTTGTAATTAAATGCAATGTGAATGACTGCAATGCTCTACAGTTGGATGTTATGAGTAACAGTGCAATGAAGAAGTCTTCAGAGCAACAATGCCTATGGATTGTTATTGTGTAAAAGATATTGATATGGTATTCTGGCTACACTCATAGCCAGGTGGCTGTCTGTTAAGAGGGTCAAAACATTGCCACAATGTAACAATGTATTCATTTATTTGACATTGACACAATTAACTAATGTATTGTTCTTATTTAAGTTGAACAGAGTAATATATAACAGTGAAATGCATTGCTGAATACAATGTTAAACTTATTTGAATAAATTATTGAACTGAAATCGAATTCTCTGAGTGATTTATCCTATGGGAAAGGGGACGTGCAATTATTTTCTGAGGTGTGCTTTGGATACTGTTTCAGTGTTCTCCAACATTGTTTCTGGTAACCTAGGCCTACTGTATTGTATATTCTAAACGTCACTCCAGCTGGGAATCAATCAGACAGTAATTAGTAGGCCTATACCTATTGGATTATAGGGAACCAATTCAGAGTATTTTATATTCACCTGTGTCTTGTCTGAAATTCAGACATGGAAACAGCAACACTTCTTAAAACAGTTATAATACTGTAATTAGACTTTATACCATTTCAACTATAAAGCCATGAATGAAAACCTGCATAAAATGTAGCCTATATACTGTTTTTCCAAGGCTGGAGTTTTAATTGACACCCAGCCTCATGTATATTAACTAATGTCTTGCTATTGCTCACCAAAATGTAGGCTTCACAACACCATTATTACATGCAATCTTATACTTTCATGCACATTGTTGAGATGCACTGTTTATTTCAAGCCAGACAGTAGCTTTCTGATGCTGTGATGCATCCACAGTAGCCTACAGTTTGATATCCAGAAAGCCTTCATCACTCAAATGCCATGCACGGGTAGTTGAAAGCATCTGAGGCCTAAAGTCCCTAATCGGTCTATGTAAAGATTGGATCCTTGCACCTGAAACAGAGTTAAAGAGTTTCTTGTGCAAATCATGTAAAAAGACTGGTCAAACCTAGTTTCAGTTATGGGTCTTTTGTTGTGTAAAAGACAAATAGGAACCAACCAAACAGGTGGGCAGTACTGTAGTTTCAACCAGATTTTCCCTCACAATAGGCCCTCAGTGAGGCACTAACTGAAGAAAGCCAGGATTACAGCATAGCTCGTGGTATATCCTCCTTCCTTATACTGTTGACTGCACTTACCCTCTTTCAAAACCCCTTGTGCAAACAAACAAGAGTGTATCTAGATATGGGTTTACAGATAGCTGAGTGTGCAGACATGTCTTCTGGCTTACAGGTACCTAAGTCGCATCCTGGATGTGAAATCCTTAACATGGCGGCCAGTACTGTTGTGACACCCTGCCCCGGAAGAGACTGTGACTCCATATAGGCCCAGAAATGCAGGACACTTGTTTGACTTGGCAGTTGTCCTGGACCATCGTGTGCCTCGGGTACAGCTTAGTCCTAGAAATGGTCACCGACCCAGTTCACTCAATCTATTGTTGGCCTGGCTAGGACACAGGTAACAGTTGGCTGATGTAGATAAGGCTTAAGGTTTGGACCATGACAGGTTGGGACATCGGAGAGACATGGGTGCCACTGGGTTGAGCTGTAGCCTAGTAATGATGTTGTAATAGGAAAATAGTTCCAAATCCTCTCTCCAAGAAATTGGACAGAGAGCTGCAATATAAACTAAATTAAGCTGCAGAGTGCAGAGGTGGTTTAAGGGGGAGGGGAATGATCTTAACTGGACATCTACAGTCCATAATCTACATACTGCAGGCTATACTACACTGAGTGTACAAAACATTAGGAACACCTTCCTAATATTGAGTTGCACCCACTTTTGCCTTCAGAACAGCCTCAATTCGTCGGGGCATGGACTCTACAAGGAAAGCGTTTCACAGTTATGCTGGCCCATGTTGCCTCCAATGCTTCCCACAGTTGTGACAAGTTGGCTGGATGTCCTTTGGGTGGTGGACTATTCTTGATACACATGAGAAACTGTTGAGCATGAAAAACCCAGCAGCGTTGCAGTTCTTGACATACTCAAACCGGTGCACCTGGCACCTACTACCATATCCCATTCAAAGGCACTTAAATATTTTGTCTTGCCCATTCACCCTCTAAATGGCATACATATTCAATCCATGTCTAAATTGTCTCAGGGCTTGAAAATTATTCTTTAACATGTCTCCTCCCCTTCATCTACACTGATTGAAGTGGATTTAACAGGTGACATCAATAAGGGATCATAGCTTTCACCTGGATTCACCTGGTCAGTCTATGTCATGGAAAGCGCAGGTTTTCCTAATGTTTAGTACACTCAGTGTATGTCCTCTGATTCACCTTTCATTATACATATGCATATGTCCAAACAGTGAGCATAACCTAATCCACAACCCCTGTCACTGCACTTGCAGGTTTCTATCAATAGGAGTGAGGCTGGGGAATCCTGTCCAGACGAAAATAGAAGGGGATAGACAGGGAGAGAAAGCGAATCGTGAAAGAAGCCCTAGTAGTAGGTGTGCAGGATCATTGGTCACACAAACACTCTAATTAGGTCACTATGGCAACCACAGGTCAGTGTCCGAGACTAAATAGGCCCTAAACTGGTGTGATAAGGCTTTAGAATAGACTGTGTCATTCATCCCTGCAGCACGTTGTACATGTTGGGAGGAGTTACATGTAACCAATGATACCATGAAAAGGAGCCCTAAGTAGTAGGGGTCCAGTGCGGCTCAGTTGGTACAGCATGGCGCTTGCGTTACCAGGGTTGTGGGTTTCGATTCCCATGGGGGACCAGTATGAAAATGAATGCACTCACTAGTGTAAGTCGCTCTGGATAAGAGTGTCTACTAAAATGTAAGAAAGTAATACTGGGATGGCTTTTGCCATAAACGCTTACTCTCTATCAGCAGAGCATGTGGTTTAGAGCGTAAAATGGAATCCAGTGTGTGGCTCCAAGATATGCATCATACCTGTGTCCTGGCTGTCCTGCAACCAGACAGACATCAAAACAAATGTCACTTTGAGTTTTACACATGAGGCAAAAACTTCAGCCCTCTCTGCGAGACACCCCCTGTCTGTCTGTCTGTCTGCTTGTTTAATGGCAGTGGAATCTAGAGAGGGGGGTAAACTGCTATGCCTCTAAATGACACCAATGATACAGATAGATGCAAGATGGTTAGTTTATGGCTATGTTCTGTCTTGAGGACCACAAGTGTGTGTGTGTGTGTGTGTGTGCGTGCGTGTGTGTGTGTGAGAGAGAGAGAGAGAGAGAGAGAGAGAGAGAGAGAGAGAGAGAGAGAGAGAAGAGAGAGAGAGAGAGAGAGAGAGAGAGAGAGAGAGAGAGAGAGAGAGCAATATTCTCTAGTCTCAACATGTCATTTTGTGGACATCATTCATTACCATTATTACAGCCAGAATTGAATCCCCCTTCTAGCTTTTAAGATGTATTGGAATACATGAGGCAAGCGCATGAGACACTGTATATGTCTCATTCTCCCGAGTGGCGCAGTGGTCTAAGGCACTGCATCGCAGTGCTAGCTGTGCCACTAGAGATCCTGGTTCGAATCCAGGCTCTGTCGTAGCCGGCCGCGACCGGGAGACCCATGCGACGGCGCACAATTGGCCCAGCGTCGTCCAGGGTAGGGGAGGGAATGGCCGGCAGGAATGGCCGGCAGCCTCAGTTGGTAGAGCATGGCGTTTGCAACGCCAGGGTTGTGGGTTCGTTTCCCACGGGTGGCCAGTATGAAAAAAATATGTAAAAAAATAATGAATGCACTCACTAACTGTAAATCGCTCTGGATAAGAGCGTCTGCTAAATGACTAAAATGTAAATGTGGTCCTCTGTAGCTCAGCTGGTAGAGCACGGCGCTTGTAACGCCAAGGTAGTGGGTTCGATCCCCGGGACCACCCATACACAAAAATGTATGCACGCATGACTGTAAGTCGCTTTGGATAAAAGCGTCTGCTAAATGGCATATTATTATTATTATTAAATGTAAGATAGGGATTTTGCACTAGAAAGCAACCATATTAGCTCTGGTAAATCTTAAAATAGAGTTCCATGCATTCCTTAAATAGAAGGCATATTTTTAGTTACAGAGACACAGTGCGATTTTAGAAGTCCTCACTCTCACAGAGCATCATGGCCCAGATCTATTTCTGCTCTGCTTTAATAGAGTGGGATGGCCACATACACACAACGTGGCTCCATAAAGCCTGCGTCACATTGCCATAGAAACGGTAAGGGGTAGCCAGAGCATCTTTGCTGGCTCTGTATCAGTGTTTCTAGTCTTTATATTTGTTAAATAATGAGTGCAATCTGAACCAATCGCATTTGGCTACTGACATGTATTCCACCACATATGGGTATCCTCCGGATTCGTAATTGCTAGGGCCCTGTATTTTTGATTAATCATGTCACATGACCTGGATTTTAACCTTTATTTAAAGCGTTTTCATCAAACTGTCCCCTTTTCTTTTTATGTCAGATGGTCCAGCACCATCCTCAGACAATTAAATTCATTTTCTGGAAAAGGCTTAAAAAGGTTCAAATCCAGGTCATGTGATATAAAACAAAGGGCACTAGTTTAATTTCCCTCATAAGGGTGAGAGCATCAATTATATCCCCGAACGACAACGTTATAATACTGTATATTATTAGAAGGCACTCAGGACAGGGAAAACACTCGTTACTTGCTCTAATGTCATATATTTGTTATTGTTGTTTAATTACACATCATCACCACGACACGGTCTGGTTCACTCACGAGAAAACGAGAATCACCCACGGTTTCCGCCTTGGTTCTGTGTCGTGCGCGTCCTGCCTAGGGAAGAGCGCCGCTGGAATGCAAAGAATGCGGACAGAGTGGCGCGCCTTGACTGGAAGTGCGCGCGAGTTTGTTTTTCAAACGGTACATTTGCATAGCCAACCTGGCGCTCTTTTCCAGCGCGAAGTCGGGTAGGCAGGCAAAGTACACACACACGTTAACTTTTGCACACGCAATGGAACTAAATAACAGATAATTTAACATAAGAGCTTGTATTATAAAAGGCAATAAAACAATTCAGTGAAGCAGCAGATGACTGTATGATTGGGGATAATCATGTGTGCAAATGCCACATTTCGTAACCTTATACACCGATAATAAACACCGAGCTCTGTTGACATAGCCGTGCAGCTTTCACTCAACAACTTTTAAAGATTTAACATTTTGTGGTGGTCGTCTTCAAAGTAGTTTTCGCGGCTCACAAAAAGCTACATTAGCATGACAGGAGCTG